AGAACTACTTAGAGCCGCCACTGAAACCTCTTGGTACTCTAACCCAACAAACTTCCATAAAAAATCATACCCCCTTTAAAACCATACTTATTACATGATTCTAAACTTCGTACACTGAAACGTACTGCTAGCGGGACTAGGCCTACCCTATAGAAAACATGTACCCCTGGAATGCTGAGGCTCTTCCAAATGCCCTTGCTGCTCCCAAGAGGCGTAAGGGACAGAGCTGCGGCAAACAGACTGGGAACAATTTGTCAACGGTCTCAATGCTCACCCCCCACTTAGCGGGCATGGGGGGGACATAAATAGAATTAAGGGTAACAGAATGGGCAGATCGCGCACCCTCATCCCTTGCATAGGGCGAATGAGTTAGTCAGTGCTTGGGCTGCTACATCTAGCTATGCTAATTTTCCCCAGTACCACACAGGCAAAATTTAAATGGCTAATATGATGCAAGGGAGAGACTTGTTTGCTTTATGCTCAGCAAGGCAGATGATTGCAACATTCCTTTCACTAATTATGAACTTGATGCAGCACTAACTAAGGGGAACTCCACGTCGGCCTGGTGAGGATGGTTTACTTACAACATTCTCAGATTGCTGTGTCGAGTACCAGGTTAATCCATTACTTGAATTATATAACATGAGCTATGTAAACTAGGGAGCTCCCTCAATCTTGGACCAACGCTCATCATTCAATTCCCAAGCCCCAATCAACAAAATGCATTTCGGCCAATATCTCTTACTAGTGCTTGTGTAAAACTTTTTAGAGAATGATTCTTAATCGTCTCATGTACAGAATCAAACAATTTTTGTCTCCCCGGTTACATGGTTTCATGCATGGAAGGAGTGTGCATCATTGCATAGCCACCTTTCTCACCCCGCACACTGACAGCTCATTACACTACCTTCCTTGACCTTAAATCCGCTTTCGATGTAGCCAACCGACATGTAATCATTAGTGAACTTGCCAGAATGGATGTTGGAGGATGGCTTTTCCCCTGGATTAAAGGTACCTGTCCAACAGAAAATGTCTGTGTTGTTCCAGGGACATAGAAGTGTAACTAAAAACTTTGGGAAATTTGGAACCCACAGGGAGGGGGTGCTCAGTCCCACACTGTTCAATATTCTAATTAATGCAATTACTTAATGCTATGCCTAGGGCAGCCCCATCATTATGTGATTGTTTTGGATGATATTATAATGATTCACACCACCGGATTCTCCCAAAACCCAAAACATTCTTTTAAACATTTTACTAGCCTCGTGTCCGGACCTGGGGTTGATAATCTCTACTGATAAAACAAAGATACTCAATAGGCGTCCTCCCCGACAGAGAGGCACAGTTCGTCAGATCCAATTGCATGTGGGTCTCTTCTAGAATATGTAAGCAGATACAGGTATCTGGCTTTGAGGTTCCACTACTTGGACCTGTTGTAAACAGACTTTGTCGCCAATTCAAAGAACGACTAAGAGCACTTAGAGTTGTGGCAGGGCTTCACCCCAGGTATGGTGCTAATGTTTAAAATTGTGAAAATGATGTATCTTGCTTATATTAGATCATTGGTTGATTATGTTGCGCCACTACTTGCTCTTGTGTCTGACTGGAAGCTTGGAGGGCTGGAAAAACTGCAGAAAAGAAGCAATGAGGGGTCATTTTTAGGATGCCCTCGTACTGCCAAAATTTTAAATATGCAAAAGAACTTGATATTCCAAGCATCAGAGATCGTGTTACTGAAAGAAATATCCTAATTGGGTTATTATGCTCAGGCAAGCTCATTCAAACCCTGCACAGAAAACCCTCCAAATTTCCTCAGCATGGTGAACACTCCTCCAGATGGATCGAAAAGACTGGAACCGACCTCCGCATGAATTTAGATACATGATCTTGTCAAGTAAGGCAACAGCGGCACTTCTCCGCTCCATGGAATATTACCCCATTCCAAATACCATTCCTCCATTCCCCCCAAAAACTACTTCTTAAAACACAACCAAAACTTCGCCTTGAAGCCAAAAATGAGGCCTTAAGCTGTATTGATAACTTAGTCACACAGCACACACTCTCGCAAATTATTTACGCTGATGGGTTCTGTTCACCAATCCACTGGTGCAGCTTGTAGTGTGCTGTTGTCGTACAGAGTGATGGATTTCTTAAAGAAAATTTGGGGCAACGCTCAATAATTGGGCTCTACCTTCAGACAGAAAATGTTTGCCATACTCCTTGCACTGAAATGATCTATGTATCAAAGATTGACAGTTTAATAGTAACTGATTCACTGTCATCCATAAATGCTCTCAACTCATTAAGCTTAAATTGTTGCATGCTTGTGTCAGAAGCCAGACAAAGGTATGGTTTGGATTGTGGACAGTGGAGTCAGAGTGCACATGCTGTGGATTCCATTTTCACATTGGTCTTCAGATGCATGATAGAACTGATAAATTGGCTAAGCTGTATGCTTTCAAAGAGGGGGTAGATTACAATCTTGGCTTGTCAGGTAGTAGTTTGAAAACAATAATACGAAAAGAACTTCAAAACTGAATTTTTATGGACTTAAGACTCAGGGAGATTGACAAAAGTCAGTCCATCTATCATCATTTTTATCATGCGGAGGAGCCCATGTCTATGGTGCATTCCAACAAAATAAGCAGACTCTTGGATGTCACTACTGCCCGGCTCCGGCTGGGTTACAAGTATCTTTGGCAGGTTAAATCACCACCACCAGATGTAGACCAAACGAAATGTAAACTTTGCCAGATGGACTATTGTCACACATTGCATCATTATGTACTGGAGTGTGATCAAATTAATGAATTTAGAAACAACTCACTCAGAAATGTTCAAGAAAATGGCAAAATATTTTATCCACAGTGGTATTTTTGCAGACCTTCTGGAGAAATACCCTGACTTTGCTAGCTGTAAATAAAGCATTACCACATGTGTGCATGTGTGTGTGTGTGTGTGTGTGTGTATGTGTGTGCACTCACCTAGTTGAGATTGCAGGGGTCGAGTCCAAGCTCCTGTGTACTCACCTATTTGTACTCACCTATTTGTGGTTGCAGGGGTCGAGTCACAGCTCCTGGCCCCGCCTCTTCGCTGATTGCTACTAGGTCCTCTCTCTCCCTGCTCCATGAGCTCTATCATACCTCGCCTTAAAAGTATAGACTGTTCCCGTGTGTGTGTGTACTCACCTATTTGTACTCACCTATTTGTGGTTGCAGGGGTCGAGTCCTAGCTCCTGGCCCCGCCTCTTCACCGGTTGCTACTAGACCTCTCTTCTCCCGCTCCATGAGCTTTATAAAACCCTCGTCTTTAAAATGTGTAGGGTTTCCCTGCCCCCACTACGTCATTTTCTAGGCTATTCCACTGCCTTACAACTCTATGACTGAGAGAAATACTTCCTACTATCTCTCTGATCATTTGTGTCTTCAATTTTCCAATTGTGGCCTCTTGTTTCTGTGTCCCCTCCTGGAACATCCTGCCCTTGTCCCCTTGTCTATTCCACGCAGTTTTTTTATTATGTCGTTATCATGTCTCCCTGACCCTCCTGTCCTCCAGTGTCGTCAGGCCGATTTCCCCTTTCTCTTTCTTCATTGGACATTCCCCTTAGCTCTGGAAAACTAACCTTGTTGCAAACCTTTGTACTTTCTCTAGTTTCTTGAGTGCTTTATCAAATGCGGGTTCCAAAAAAGGTGCTGCATACTCCAGTATGGGCCTGACATACACGGTGTACAGTGTCTGTGTGGTGTGTGTGTTTTGTGTGTGGGGGTGTGTGTGTGTGTGGTGTGTGTATGTGACTCAACAATCAACATTTGCACCAATAACTCACTACAGTTGTGACCGGGTGTGGAAGTGTGAATTGCTCATTACTATATAAATTTTTTCATGATTGTAGCCATGTTATAAACGTAAGTAACCATTCTTACAGGATTTTATTACCTTTGTAACTTGTGGTTCATTACTTTGTAAATTGTGAGCTCATTACCTTTGTAAATTGTGAGTTCATTACCTTTGTAAAATTTTGAATTCATTACCTCTGTAACTTGCTCAGCTATCAAAAATTTGGGGTCCAGTCACTGGACCAATTATGTACCTCTGTAAACCCTTTTGACTACCCCCACAGGATGGGTATGGGATGCATAATAAAAAATATTAAACTAACTAAAAGGTAAACCCCCAGGTAACCTCCAGGTAACCTCCAGGTAACCTCCAGGTAACCTCCAGGTAACCTCCAGGTAACCTCCAGGTAACCTCCAGGTAACCTCCAGGTAACCTTCAGGTAACCTCCAGGTAAACCCTTTAGGTAACCCCCAGGTAACCTCCAGGTAACCTTCAGGTAACCCCCAGGTAAACCAGGTAATGTTTTAATTTTTAAAACGGTGCAGCTTTAACACTGTTTTGGCCTTTCATGCCTGACTTAGGTGAGGTTCGTCAGGAAACAGGACAAGTGTCTCCTGACGCGGGTCTTAGTCATATGATGACCCGCCTTTGGAGCTTTTGGTCATCTGACAGAGGCCTTCCGCTGGCTTACTGGTCCACCCTTTAAAATTATGGTCAAATTTTTTCTTTATTGTTTTCGTGTGTGTGTGTGTGTATGTGTGTGTGTGTGTGTGTGTGTGTGTGTGCTCCAAATTGTGGGTTGCAGAGGTCCTGGCCCGCCTCTTCGCTGATCGCTAGTAGGTCACCACTCTCCCTGCTCCATAAGCTTTATCGTACCTTTTCTTAAAGCTGTGTGTGTGTGTGAGATACGTCCCCGCTAACCCTGCATAAGACCACCTCAGCCTGGGCTGCTACATTTTATCTAAAATAATTTTCACCCTTTACGTCTCTCTCTCTCAAGAATCTGATACAATAGGATATTACCCCGAGAAGTGTCTCTTTACCGTTTTATATACTTAGTATTCTTGACTGATAGTGACAGTTGACATGCAGCCTCGACGACCCTCGTATAGTAGATAAACTTAAGATACCATTAACCTGCTACACTACATGTATCCCCGCAGGAACTGACGTTGACGGAGGCTGTGTTGAACGGCGCCAGCCCCCAGCTGATGCTGCGGACCCACGTGAAGGTGAAGTCACCGTCAGAGAGGACCCGCGTGGTGGTGACTGAGGGCTTCGTCAAAACAGTGGAAGGTGTTCGAAATGTGCTCCCTGGAGGTGGATAGGCGGCCCGCTGCTGCTGCCGGAGGCGTAGAAATTACAAAAGTGAGAAGACTTATTCTGAGGTGAGTCCTTGTTGGTCTTTTCTCCTGAATGGATCATCGTCTACGAAGTCCCACGGCATCTGTCCCGAGCTTACTGGATGGAGGATCGAGCCTCAAACACTCCTTTTGTTAAGTGTCCAACATGTGATACCTAGCTCATTCCTCTTAATGATTTAATGATTTTGAAAACCGACAAGTTGAAGAATTGAGACACTTATGCAAATATGGGAATCTTTATTGAGGAAACGTTTCGCCACACAGTGGCTTCATCAGTCCAATACAAATCAGAAGGGTGTAAGGAGAGGAAGAGTTTTGAGGTAATCAGTCCCTCAGCCTGGAGTCGTTTGTGTTCAGTCCATCAATCTTGTAGAAAGTACAGCATTGGCAGTAGAAGTGGCTTATTACTGTAGTCAGGTGAGGTGAAGCAGGGGCGGGATCTAACTTGGACGAAGACCCACTTCGACTAGTGGATGGTTTCCCCTTTGACCCGCCTCCTCCTGCTTCACCTCACCTGACTACAGTATATTTAACTACGTCTACGGTCATATGCTGTACTTTCTTTAAGATTGATGGACTGAACACATCGACTCCCGGCTGAGGGATGATTACCCCAAAACTCTTCCTCTCCTTCACCCTTCTGATTTGTATTTGGGCTGATGAAGCCCTGTGTGGCGAAAGTTTCCTCAATAAGATTCCCATATGTTGCATGAGTGTCTCAATTCTTCATTCCTCTTTGCTCAAAAAAAAATCCACGTTACATACTCTACACTTTTTCCCCTTTTTTCATCAAATTGCTGGGCTAACAGCCCATCAATTTGATGGGCTGTTAGCCCATCACAAATAAACCCCCACATAAAAGAGAGAAGCTTACGACGACGTTTCGGTCCGACTTGGACCCTTTTACAAAGTCACACTAACCAGAAGTAAACAAAGCAAGCAAACAGTTTAGGTAAGATCCCAATGGGATGAGCGGGGAAAGACGGGACAGATGAAGAATAGCTCTGGAGAGGAGTGTTCTTAGTAAGAGAAATAGAGCAGAGTTTAAACCCCAGCAGTAAGGTGATCGTGGGGCAGACTTGAGAACAGGAATAGCAGGGACTGTTGCATTAAAACTTGTGGTAGTTGAAGTCTTGAATCTTGAGTAGCTGGCAGCAGGCTAGGTCACTCAGGGGGTTTAGAACACATATGGGGTTATAGGAGTAACGAGGAGACAGGTTAGCAATGGAGCCATTTTCGAACTTTTGAAGCTGCTTCTAGATAGGTGGTTAGTTTAGCCTTGTTATGAAGGTGAAACTTTAGAGGCTTGTTGAACTCAAGAACTTGGGTGAGTGTGATGTGAAGCGGTGATTCACGACATACTTGACTGTTCCGCACCGAGGCTTTTGTAGAGTTCAGTACAGGTTATGGTGTCAGTATTTGAAGGAGAAGTGTGGGAAGGTGAGGCTTTCCCATGAGGGTTTACTGGAGTCGTCGCTTTTCTTCCTCTTCTGGAGTGGATTCATTGGGCGAATCTACAATGGTGGTAGCAGGTGACTGAGGGGGCGACAGGAGCAGTGGAGAGGTGTAACGGTTGTGTAACAGTAGGCTGGGAGAGGTGGAAGACAGTGGTTGAGGCAGCATGATCAGCCTAGTTGATCAGGCCCTGATCCATCGGGAGGCCTGGTCATGGACCGGGCCGCGGGGGCGTTGATCCCCGGAATAACCTCAGGTAACCTCCAGGTTCAGTGCTTCAGTAGAGAGAGGGGTGACGTCTGTTCAGTCTTTTCACAAAGACCGAGCGTTTCGACTTCAAAAATGGAGACGGGGATAGAGTGAATTGTTGTGTTTGTAGGGTCCTGATTGAAAAGTCGTCCATTAGTTTTGATGCTTCCGTGTCTCTGTGCAGACGACATTGAAGGAGTCCTTCAGAGAGTGGATTGCGTAAATTTGATCTGCAGGCAGGTCCTAACGACGGTAGCTAAAGCTAACTTCGGGGAGTCATTTATTGCACCGTTCACGGCTTGATTTTCACACGATGCGACAGCATTGTGAAAAGGATTTGTGGACGTTTGTAGAATATAAATTCCACCCGGCGGGGTCGAAGGGAGGCTTTTGAGTGTAGAGCAACTGTGTGATCGGGCAGAGCACGACGGACCAACCAGAAGTGGAGCAGGACGGCAATATATAGGCAGGAAGAGGTGGAGGTGGTGTAGTAGTAGTAGTACAAAAATGGTATATAATACCGACAAGATGAAATAAAGGACACATGCGCAAACCCCGGGCAGCCCTATCGTAGACGTTTCGCCACCACCCAGCCACTGGATGGCGAAACGTCCACAACAAAGACCCCAGACGCCGCACATGTGTCTTAATTTCATCAGTAGTAGTAGTAGTAGTAGTAGTAGTAGTAGTAGTAGAAGAGGTAGTAGTAGTGGTAGTGGTAGAAGTGGGGAATAAGGAGGGCGAGCCAGTCAAATACAAAGGAAGGGGAGCAATGCAAGAGGCTAGGTGCCCATGAGGGAGAGCAAGCGCACAGAGGTGCGTGAAAGGGGAAGTGGTGAAATAAATGTCTCCTGTTTCTGTTCCTTCTTCATTTATTTCACCACTTCCCCTTTCACGCACCTCTGTGCGCTTGCTCTCCCTCTTCCTGCCTATATATAGCCGTCCTGCTCCAATTCTGGTTAGTGTGGCTTTGTAAATGGTCCAAGTCGGACCGAAACGTCGTCGTAAGCTTCTCTCTTTTAAGTGCGGGTTATTTGTGTATCGTTCCAGTCACGGTATTGTGCCTTTTTTTGTTATTTAGCCCATCAAAATTTATTTTCAAAGAAAACGTATGTCTGTTGGGAAACTAGGCTGTTTTGAAAGAACGTATCTGTACATGTTCAGTGACACGTGTGCCACTGTTTGTAATCTCACCTATTTTTACTAACCGTTTATGGTTGCAGAGGTTGACCCGGCCTCATCAACTGTCTATTACTGAATTAATGGATTCAAAGCAGTTTTGTGCACAGATGTGTTATCTGGAGATGGTTACTGCGAGGCGTATAATAATGCAGATTTGTTGCAGGTACTCTGGAGCTGTTCAACGTGAAGTGGACGTGATACCAAGTGGATTGTTCAGGGGAAAGAATAGCGCCAGGCTTCGACTCATTGGGTGCTATGGGGGGCCGCCTCCCAGCGGCCTCATGGATCAGGTGAATTTTTTACAGTCCCTGCATATCAACAACTCTGTAATAGGAGTCTTCGAGGGGCCCCTAAGCAGTGAAGCGCTCGTCTTGAGGCATACAAGGGGTTACAGTGATGTTAAGCTACTCAAATGTCGTTCGGTTAAAGGGCTGGCCACAGGGGCCATCAAGTTTCACACCTCAGAAGGGAACGATATTAGTGTTGAGGAGGGTAACGGTCGGAGAGGTGGCTGCGGGTGCCTTAGATGCCCGGGGAAAGGGGAAAGCTTGTGATGAAAAAGTGCAGAATAGCGGACCTCCATCAGAATGCCCTCAGGTACAGGACAGAATCTTAGCTGACATCGCCAATAACACGCTGATAGTGCGACCCGGGGGGCTCTCCCAGCTACAGTGTAGCTTCCATCCCATTATATTGACTCGAAAAGCATCATGGTTATTCCCGCCTTGTCTGGATTAAAAGGCTAGATTATCTCCGCGTCTCAAATGACACCATACATTCGAAACCAAAACCAGAAACCTTCATTCATGACGTCCCAGTGGAGGTACTGAGGAAGGCACTTCACCCAGGGTGGTGGAGTACAACCTGCCGGTGTGGCTTCCCCCCACCACTCTCTTCTCCTCCCCTGAAACCCCTGCATAAAAGGGACACAACGCTACACAAAGGACTCTATAGTTTCGTGGCGGTAAGCGTTTACCGCCATGGTGTGGTGGTGGTACTGGCCTGCCTGTGGACAACCAGGCGTCGCCGCTCCGCCCCCGCCACCAACAACCGGTGGTAGTGATGAGTCAGCTGCAAGAAGACCCCATTTATGAGGATCCAGACTTCCATATGATGGCCCCGCCCGTGCCCTTACCCTCTGCCCACCTGGCTGAAGCTTGCGGAGGGAAATGCTGACACAGTCCGGTAGCAACCATTGCTCTGCTGAGACTCCACTCCAGGAGAAGGCTGTGGAGAATCAGTACGTGTCTATGTGTAAGTTTCGAAACAGCCCTCCTAGGCCCAGGTGGTACGTGAGATTAGATTCCTACAACGGAGAAAGTGCCTAGAGACTAGTTTAGGCTTTTGGCAAGTGGGGGTTCTTGTGTTTCCCTGATTTTTCCTTCTTCCTCTCCTGAACATTTCGTTTTTGGGAGTTCAGCTATGAGAGACGGGACGCCCCATGTGGCAGTGTCACAGTGGAGGCATCAGGTCATGTGTGTGGCCACAAACTTCCTCTTATAATTACAAACAATTGTCTTCAAGGGGAGCTGGACAGGCATCAAAGTCAGCACCTGACCAAACCGGGCTGTTGTTCGTACATGGGGCCCAGCAGTAACAGCCTGGTTGATAAGGCCTTGACCCACCGCGAGTCCTGGTCATGGACCAGGTCGCGGGGGGCGTCAACACCCCCCCCCCGAAACACAGTAAACTCCAGGTATACCGCTCCGATATTCTCGAACAAAAAAATGAGCCTCTGCCAGACTTTGTAGCCACTGACCCACACGGGTCTAGTACTAAATGAAATACAACAAACAATAAATACTACAACATAATGGTGAAAGAGATGGAAGTGTAAATTTTATCATTGTTTTGTTAGTCATATTGACTCCTTTTGATGAATATGATAATTATTATTGTATTAAAAAACTCAGTACAGTACAGTGTGTCTGGAGTGATCTGTAATACTTTACAATGTTGGAACATCACCTGTGTCTGCCTAACACATCCTTCACCCAGGATGGTTTTCACGTCATATTGCATCACCCAGCATAGTTCTCACGTCATACTGCATCACCCAGGATAGTTTTCACGTCATA